AGTACTTGACAATAATATAAAGCACCCTTTGTATAAAACTAGACTAGGCCCATGTAATTAGTTTTAAGTGTCGATTTAAGATAGTCTGTTTAAGAGAGCGTCCTGGCGCGCACGGCCAGTTCGGAGCGCCTCAGGCGGCGCGGGACTGGACCGGAGGCCGAGCGGCGGGCTGCTCGGATGGGTAGTTTTCCGTGGTTTCTCCGATCAATGCCAGGCGAATGCCGGAGTAGTGCCTTATGAAACGAGCCACTTTGCCCGCGCGCGATCTGTCCTTCCTCTTCCTTGTCCTATCTTCACCCCTTACTTATACTTTCTCTTACACGCACTACACTGCAAACATGCCGTGAGCTTCGACCTTGTCGCGGCTGCGGCGGTGCTCCGCTGGTGGGACATTTCTAGTTGGGGCCGTTAAGCTCAGCGTCGTATCTCGCCAGTATCCACTGTGGGGAGATCACCGCAATACAACGTGCATTAGAGTTATTAAAATTCATGAGGCTGTCAACTGAAACAGTGAAGATGTCTGTTTTTGTTTTTCTAGTTTAAGAAAATACGCAATTCGATGATATGATGCATCCGCTATCATTAAAATCTAAGACTAACTTCAAAGATTCACGGTCAATATCAAATTGCTCATAACCGTGATAAGTGGATATTTTTTTCTCTTCTTAAATGTTTACTGTTAAATCATTCATATGTGTCATAAGTGACGCGTTTCGTAAGTTTTATATCACAGAAATTCGCTAATTTCGAGGCGTCACAAAGATTATTCAGAGGGTGTGGGCTATTAGATTAGTGACCTATTTACTTGATATTTTCTTTAAAATATCCCTTTTTGATAAATTTGAAAGTAACTTTTATTGGTTAATTTAATTATTTACAACGTATGTAAGCAATGTATTTAATTATTTTCTTTGTTATTAAAAATGAGTAAAAACTATAATTGTGAATAATGTACCATCAGCATCCAGGGACGGGGGATAAATGCCCATGAGCCCTCACCACTCGTCGATTCACCACCGCTTATGTCCACCTGTTTCATTACCCACGTGTTTCACCGCAAAGTACTTTGTAATAAGTGTATTTGGTTACATTTTACAGCAATGTTCATCACTGAATGCGCTTTCAGTTCGGTCTCTAACACGCGCAAGTCACGAACGAAGCAAAAAGACGTGGAGTCCTTTTAGGAATTATGTATGCATTGGCAACGGTGTGTACGTCGTAATATCGGATATGAGAAATTGAGGATTAATATTGTAAGTATATATATGAATTTTTTAGTCAAAATCTTAAATACTCGTATTACATTGCTTTTCCTGTGTATCTAACGAAACTATTTTTTTCCCTCACATGACCAGAGTAAGCTTAGTTTTACGCTAATTTAAGTGTTCATTCGAATTAAGTAATATGAATGTTACGTACATGGAAGATACCAGCAACAATGCGGAAGTTAAATTATGAAGAAAATCAGAATGTGAATCAGTAACAGAGTGGATGACGCAGCATGTATTTACAGTAGTAGGTCTTCAAAATATTGAGACTGGGTTGTCAAAGTTATAACTAAATATCTAAGATGTGGGAAAAAATTGCTCAAGTGTCTCCTGACTCAATTGATGTCACTGCAGTATCTATGACTGGGAGGTCCTAGGGTTCGACAGTGGCAGAATGTTCGACACTGCCTAGATAGCTGCGTCGAAATCAGTTGCTGTCTGGACCAAACTCTAGTGGACAGCTACTGTGATCGGTAGTTTTCCGTGATTTCTTCCATAAACATTACGAGAATGCTGCAGAATTCATTCAGCCCAACAAACTGTTCACGGACCGCGGGCAATCTCTCCTTCTTCTACGTTTTCCTATTCTCGCCCATTTTTCATACACTTCCTATGTTTGACTTCACGCTTCCACGTTACAAAGTACTGTACAAATACCAATTGCCCCTGTGTGCCTACTTGTGCGGCAACATACTTGATAAATATTTAGAACTTGCAGCTGTAAATATAGCAATGGCTAGAAACACCTAATGGGGAGTCGACGAAAATCGCGAATCGAGCTAAACCATGAGATTCTAAATAGTAGTGGTTTGATGACGTAAGGCGAAGTTATCCAAGGTGGCCGACTTTAAGGCATTTGGAAGAACTTCTCCGTTTGAAAGGAAGTAAGTCTCGGATTAGGAAATATATTTTAAAATGTCCCTTTACGCATTAGGTCATGAAATTGTTTTGTTCCATTGTGAATGGAAATATAAAGACCCATTAAA